AAGGGCAAGACCACTTAGCCCAAGTGGTGCTGTCACTTTGTGCATACGGGTGTGTGCTGTGCATTGCAGGGAAAGAGGTGCTACATGCATTGCAATTGCACATTTCACCTATGTTTGCACATTCGGTTCCCCATTCAACATCCACAAGTGTCCTATAACTTGTGGATGTTGAAAGCAGTCAGGACAATTGGGGGCGAAAGGGTTAACATTTGCTGAGAATTATGCCCACAATGGATGTCACGGCCCCCCAAACGTATTGCAGAGCCACATTTTGCTTATTGCTTTGCAGAATCTGCTTTGTTGTAGTGGTTCAGCTTGCATTTGTGCCGTTGCCTGAAGTTTCAGTGCCTAATGAGCAAGATCCAGCAGACCCACAGGGGACTGGAAATGGGGATTTTGGACAGGAGAGTGTTGTTCGCCATGATGAAGCTGAGGATTCTGGGATGGTCAAGCCTGCATTAGATGTGCCAGTACAGAGAAAGAGGCTGACAGACTTAGAATCATAGAATCATAGAATCAAAGAGTTGGAAGAGACCTCTTGGGCCATCCAGTCCAACCCCATTCTGCCAAGAAGCAGGAATATTGCATTCAAATCACCCCTGACAGATGGCCATCCAGCCTCTGTTTAAAAGCTTCCAAAGAAGGAGCCTCCACCACACTCCGGGGCAGAGAGTTCCACTGCTGAACGGCTCTCACAGTCAGGAAGTTCTTCCTAATGTTCAGATGGAATCTCTTCTTGTAGTTTGAAGCCATTGTTCCGCGTCCTAGTCTCCAAGGAAGCAGAAAACAAGCTTGCTCTCTCCTCCTTGTGGCTTCCTCTCACATATTTATACATGGCTATCATATCTCCTCTCAGCCTTCTCTTCTTCAGGCTAAACATGCCCAGTTCCTTAAGCCGCTCCTCATAGGGCTTGTTCTCCAGACCCTTGATCATTTGAGTCGCCCTCCTCTGGACACATTCCAGCTTGTCAATATCTCTCTTGAATTGTGGTGCCCAGAATTGGACACAATATTCCAGGTGTGGTCTAACCAAAGCAGAATAGAGCATGGGGAGCATGACTTCCTAGATCTAGACACTAGGCTCCTCTTGATGCAGGCCAAAATCCCATTGGCTTTTTTTGTTGCCACATCACATTGTTGGCTCATGTTTAACTTGTTGTCCACGAGGACTCCAAGATCTTTTTCACACGTACTGCTCTCGAGCCAGGCATTGTCCCCCATTCTGTATCTTTGCATTTCATTTTTTTCTGTCCAAGTGGAGTATCTTTGACTCATTGTCCCCCATTCTGTATCTTTGCATTTCGTTTTTTCTGCCAAAGTGGAGTCTCTTGCATTTGTTACTGTTATCTTGCATTTGTCACTGTCCTATAACTTGTGGATGTTGAAAGCAGTCAGGACAATTGGGGGCGAAAGGGTTAACATTTGCTGAGAATTATGCCCGCAGTGGATGTCACGGCCCCCAAAACTTATTGCAGAGCCACATTTTGCCTATTGCTTTGCAGAATCCGCTTTGTTGTAGTGGTTCAGCTTGCATTTGTGCCATTGCCTGAAGTTTCAGTGCCTAATGAGCAAGATCCTGCAGACCAATAGGAGCCTGGAAATGGGGATTTTGGACAGGAGAGTGTTGTTCGCCATGATGAAGCTGAGGATTCTGGGACGGTCAAGCCTGCATTAGATGTGCCAGTACAGAGAAAGAGGCTGACAGACTTGTGTTAAGTTTCCCAAGGGAGTCAAGGTCGGAATGTGAATGTTTTAATTGGGGATCCAGGGGAGGAGGATGCCTCTTTTGATGGAAGGAGTCAGATTTGTCAACAGAGACATCTGGCCGGGGAGAGGCACCGCTCTCAAAGATTAATTGACAAGAGGGTTCCTCCTGAGTCTTCTCAAGGGAAAAGGCATGGATTTTTTACTATATATGAGGGCAACTGAGATTGTGTCTTCAGAGGAACCAACGTTTGGTTTAGACAGCAGTTCCTTTCTCATGTTCAAGTTTCTTGTGCCTTGGATTTACATTCATGTTGAGATGCCTGTAACTTTTCATGCCTTGGATTTAATGCTCAAGTTTTGTTCCTGTATTTTCATGTGTCTATGGATTTGCTGTCTTGGATTATTTTGGGATCACAGACTCTTGTTACCTTTGGATCTTGTCATGGTTTTGGGCATTCCTGGAATTAAGCCCCACTATTACTATGGTTGGGACTGGTTATTGCACCTTACCCATTCCCCCCATGTCCTGTTTTTGCACTACTTTTCATTTACCTATGCCCATTTTTGAAATTCTTGCCCTAACAGTAATTTTTGCACAAAGAATTGGGTGGGATTGGTTTTTAATGTATTTGTGTTGTTTTGATAATTCTATGCTTATGTTTGTTTGTGCTCTGTATGTTGGTGTTTTGCTATTTGGAAACTCCTGAGTCCCCTAGGGAGATATGGCAGTATATAAATAAAGTCCATCATCATCATCATCATCATCATCATCTGTACAGAAGTTGATTGTAAATGATATGATTATAAACTGTATTGATTGTAAATGATATTATTATAACTGTATTTGTGTTTACACTGGTTGCCCTAATGCTGGAGCGGCCTAGCTGTGAGGAGTGTGTTACCATGGAAACGATGCTAATGCTGGAGCGGCCTAGCTGTGAGGAGTGTGTTACCATGGAAACAATGCTGTAGAGAAGTGGGAGGAGCTTAGAGAGGGGAGTTTTGAAAAGCGACAGTTAAAAGTTAGTTAGGTTTTATGCTCAGAGGAGTGAAGAGTCATGAAGAGTTAGGGTTTAGGCTCAGAAGAGTGCACAGTCATGAAGAGTCAGGGTTGAGGCTCAGAGGAATGAAGAGTTAGGTTTAGGCTCAGGGAAGTGAAGAGTTGAGAGAGAGAGAGTGGGAAGTAGAGAAGCAGTGTTTGTGAATAGTCGGAGGTTTCTTCAGTTCGGGAAGGCTGAAGGGGAAACCTTATTAGTTTTATTAGTTAGAGAAGACTAATAGAAGCTCGTTTAGATCACTAGTTAAAAGTGAACTAGAGATCTGAGGTTTGATCACGGAAGGGTCAAACAGGAAGACTATTCACCTCAGGAACCATTGTTTAATAAAGTGCTTCACCACAGCAAAGGTTATTTATAAGTTGTAACATCAGAAGTCTGTACTGTATCGCAACCAAGTTATATGTAACGTTCTCCAAGTATTTTCCAAGTTTATCACCAAACTGCAACCATACGCTTTGTTTCAAAATAAACTTGTTCTCTTTGATTGTAAAACTGCCTCATCTCCATTAATTCTGCGTTTAGTGTGCCCAATCTCCCAAAATTACCTCACATCACCAAATTGGTGGCACCATTAAGGATAATAAATAATAAATCGTAACTTCTCTCTCCTGAGACCTCCCTTACCGAATTTGGGGCCCGAGCTCCTTCGCATCATCATTATTATTATTATTATTATTACTACTACTACTATTACTACTACTACTACTATTCCTGTTTCCTGAACTTGATGTTTGGATTCTTGTTTTCCATGTTTAAGTGACTCTTTTTATGGACAATACTCTATACTACTTTTGATCATTTTTATCCTTTTGCTGAAGCTATTTTTATTCTTCAATAAACTGCTTTCCTTATGCCAAACTCTGGTGTGTGACATTGGTTCAGAGGGGCTTTCCCAGCCCTGGTGTGCGACATTTGTAAAGCTGGTTGAATCAGAAAGATGGGGAGAAGCCATTTTCATTGAATACCCCTTTAAAACCCCTTGAAATCATGTGGTAGAACACATTATTATTCATATCCAGGGAGCCTTCAATGCCGTTTACACGACTCATGTGATAATCTCCTAAGTAACAACAAATATTCCTTCTATCCCATTTTCCAAATGGGGCAAAACAATCCATTGTGCTTGGATGCAGATTGAGATGCATTGGAGGCAAGTGTTTAGGGCAGTGGTTCTCAACCTTCCTAATGCCACGACCCCTTAATCAGCTTCCTCATGATATGGTGACCCCCAACTGTAAAATTAGTTTCGTTGCTACTTCATAATTGTCATTTTGCTGCTGTTATGAATAGTAATGTAAATATCTGATATGCAGGATGTATTTTCATACACTGGACCAAATTTGGCACAAATACCCAACACACCCAAATTTGAATACTGGTGGGGTTGGGGGAGGGTATTGATTTTGTCCTGTGGGAGTTGTAGTTGCTGGGATTTATAGTTCACCTACAATCAAAGATCATTCTGGACTCCACCAACGATGGAATTGAATCAAACTTGGCACACAGAACTCCCATGACCAACAGAAAATACTGGACTCACGGCGGTGTAGGGCCGTGAGTCGCCCTACACCGCCGTGAGTCGCCCTAGGGCTGAGAACGGCGACTCCACCGATGATGGAATTGAACCAAACTTGGCACACAGAACTCCCATAACCAACAGAAAATACTGGAAGGGTTTAGTGGGCATTGACCTTGAGTTTTGGAGTTGTAGTTCACCTACATCCAGAGAGCACTGTGGACTCAAACAATGATAGATCTGAACTAAACTTGGCACGAATTCTCAATGTGCCCAAATGTGAACACTGGTGGAGTTTGAGGAAAATAGACCTTGACATTTGGGAGTTGTAGTTGCTGGGATTTATAGGTCATCTACAATCAAAGAGCAGTCCAAACTCCACCAATGATAGAATTGAGCCAAACTTTCCACACAGAGCCACAATGACCAACAGAAAATACTGTGTTTTATGGTGTCTTTGGTGACCCCTCTGACACCCCCTCGCGACCCCTCCAGTGGTCCTGACCACCAGGTTGAGAAACACTGGTTTAGGGAAAATTGCACATAGAGGTACACAGGGTAGTGTGCCTGGATATATGCCAAGCATTTGGTTGCATGTACGGCTGCATTACAGCATTGTGTGGCATCTCCACACAATTGCAAGAGACTGCTCTTCCTTCCCATTTGTGTATTCATCAAGCTGAACCTTCCTTCCTTCCTTCTCTTCTTGTGTCTCCTTCTAGGCTGGGCAACAGCGCTGGTGGGAGCAGGAGATTGCGGTGAATGGGAAGATCCAGAAGGGAGAGTTGATCACTTACAATCTGACCGAATTGATCAAGCCAGAAGCCTACGAAGTGCGCCTGACCCCAGTCACCATATTTGGAGATGGAGATTCCACCATTCGCGTAATCAAATACAGCGGTAAGAGGAGGGCTTTCCTCAGGCTTTGGAAGATGGTCTGGAAACTGGGAATCCCTTTGAGAAAAGACTTAGGGGTCTTGGAGAAGAGATGGTTGTAAGAAGGGGGCACGAGAGACTTTCTGCCTCGGAGTGTGGTGGAGGCTCCTTCTATGGAAGTTATTAAACAGAGGCTGGATGGCCATCTGTTGGGGGTGCTTTGAACACGATTGACCTGCTTCTTGGCAAACAAACGAGTCCAATGTGGGCTAGGCAAAACTACAGTGGGGTGGATCTGGAATTGGTTAAATGGACGAACTCAGAGGATGATTCTCCCCAATGCTTCCTCTTCATCCTGGAAAGAAGTGACAAGTGGAGTGCCATCCGCAGGGTTCCGTCCTGGGCCCAATCCTGCTCAGGATCTTTATTAATGACTTAGATGAAGGGCTAGAAGGCAGGATCATCAAGTTTGCAGACGACACCAAATTGGGAGGGAGAGCCAATACTCCAGAGGACAGGAGCAGGATTCAAAACGATCTTGACAGATTAGAGAGATGATGGGCCAAAACTAACAAAATGAAGTTCAACAGGGAAAAATGCAAGATACTCCACTTTGGCAGAGAAAAAACGAAATGCAAAGATACAGAATGGGGGACAATGAGGCCTGGCTCGAGAGCAGTACGTGTGAAAAAGATCTTGGAGTCCTCGTGGACAACAAGTTAAACATGAGCCAGGAATGTGATGTGGCGGCAAAAAAAGCCAATGGGATTTTGGCCTGCATCAAGAGGAGCATAGTGTCTAGATCGAGGGAAGTCATGCTCCCCATGCTCTATTCCGCCTTGGTTAGACCACACCTGGAATATTGTGTCCAATTCTGGGCACCACAATTCAAGAGAGATATTGACACAAGCTGGAATGTGTCCAGAGGAGGGTGACTAAAATGATCAAGGGTCTGGAGAACAAGCCCTATGAGGAGCGGCTTAAGGAGCTGGGCATGTTTAGCCTGAAGAAGAGAAGGCTGAGAGGAGATATGATAGCCATGTATAAATAAGTGAGAGGAAGCCACAGGGAGGAGGGAGCAAGCTTGTTTTCTGCTTCCCTGGAGATTAGGACAAGGAACAATGGCTTCAAACTACACAAAAAAAAAGATTCCATCTGAACATGAGGAAGAACTTCCTGACTGTGAGAGCCGTTCAGCAGTGGAACTCTCTGCCCCTGAGTGTGGCTCCTTCTTTGGAAGCTTTTAAACAGAGACTGGATGGGCATCTGTCAGGGGTGATTTGAATGCAATATTCCTGCTTCTTGGCAGAATGGGGTTGGACTGGATGGATGGAAGGAAACTCTAGGATTCTGGGCACCACAATTGAAGAGAGATGTGTCCAGAGGAGGGCGACTGGATGTGGTATGGCATGTCCACTGGATGTCGGGGGCCTGCTGGGGGGGCCCCCCGAAAATAAACTAACATGGCCCATGAGGTCTCTTCCAACTCTTTGATTCTGTGATTTTATGATTCTATGACTGCTGCTCCTTCCAGTTGTTGGCGAATCACAAGAAGCAAATGACTAATCCAGAGAAATGGCATTTGGAGGAAAGAGGGGAGAGAGAAAGGGAAATGGTGGGTGAGAGAGAGAGAGAGAGAGAGCAATACCTTCCTTGCAAAATGAGTCACTTTGGGTGGTTTTGGGCCAATTACTCCTTTATGGAGGATAAAGAGACTATGATTCACAGACAAAGAATTACTCATAGGGACAATGAAGTTGTAAACCCATACTTAGACTGCCCTGTCTTCTCGCTTCCAAATTCCATAATAGTTAGTTGTATGTATGTAACGTGGCTAATATTTGCACTGACTCATTGAAGAAAGTGATGCATGCTGCAGGCCAAACAATCTCCTACTTTATAGGTGTGTGTCTACACTCTAGTAGACTAAATTAGGTTTGACACAACTTTAACTTTCATGGCTGAATGCCAAGGAATCCTGGATTTTTTCCCCAGATTCTTGGCCTTCGCTGCCAAAAAAAGTGCTAAACATACCCTTTCTCTGTAGAAAAGGAGCAACAGGGAAGAAAATGTTTTTAAGAAACAAGTTGTGACATGTAGAAGTCAGAAGTTGTGTTGTGGTTAAGTTCAAAGGTTGTGGTTAAGCGCAGAGTTTGCAGGTACAAGAAGGTACTTTCCATCAAAAGGTCAAGGGAGAGGGGCTGGAAAGAGAGTACCTTCCATGACCTATTACTTGAATATAAAAGTCAGCAGAAAAAGAGGAGGGGGCGGCAGTCACTTGAAGGGTAGCATCTGCGTATGCTGCCAGGCTGTCCGTCTTCTTCATGAAGAAACTAAAATAAACCTTGTTTTTTTATCTTTTTTGGGGACTGTCTCCTTCCTTACGTGTTCCCGTGATGTGGACCTAAGAAGACCCAATTTAGGGTCTCTAACACTGGGAGGGAAAAGAAAGACTTCAGGCAGTCTTTCAGTTTGGAAGCCTAGTTACAGGGCGTGAGCTTTCCCCACCTGTAGAAAAGCTTCGTTTCTCACAACATCCGGGGGAAACAGCCCTAAAGCTTCTAAGGAAAACAGTCTTATAGCACAACCCTTTTTGGGGTTAAAGATACAGATTCACATCATTCGTGGAGAAAATCCAAAACGACTCCAGCTGGAAAATCTACAAGGTCTTGGCTGGTAGTCTACTCGGATAACCAGAAGCAATTGGAACTGGGAGTACGACCCACACCAGCAGAGCCTAGAAAACAGATTGCCTGGGAGGGGTCAAAAATCCAAAAGGACTCCAGCCGGAAAATCTACAAAGCCTTGGCTGGTAGGTCTACTCGGGACCCAAGAAGCAGTTTGGAGCCGGGAGTAGGGCCCACACTGCACAGAGCCTAGAAAACAGATTGCCCGGGAGGGGTCAAAAAGGGTTTTTACTTGTTAAAGAAAGAAATAGTTCTCCAAGCAAGGTGCCCACCAGTTGATTCAAAGCCTTGAAGCATTTAATTTGTTGAAGATCTAAGAAGTATTTGATTGTTGGTTGAAGACTTAAGCAATAATAAAGGACTTCGTTAAATCTTTCAAGCTTCTAAAGACTCTGTAAAGGAAAATCCTTAGGGTCTCTCAGTCGAGGCACCCTGGCTTCCCACTGGGCACAAAGAACATGTCCTGTTCAAAAGCCAACTGCTATAGGCCCAGCACATGACAGCACAACTATAGATCCCAAGATTCCATACTATTGAATTATGGAAGTGTAAAGTGGTGTCAAACTGTGTTAACTCTATAGTGTAGATACACTGTTGGGAAAACTTTGGAAATGTTTTGCAAACCGATCACTGTCTGTTTTATTAATTTCAGATTCTCTGCTCTCTTTTTCTCTTCCAGCCCCAATGAACCCCCACTTACGTAAGTATTTCGAAAATACTGTATTTTTACATGAATTGCTTATAATGTTTGCTACTGTCGTGATTTACGCCACCCCTATTCTTGCACACTCCTCCTCAAGTTACTACAGGTTGAGCATCCCTGATCCAGACCAAAATACTCCATAATTGCCCACAAGGAGGGCTATGAGCATGACTTCTTTGCTTTCTGGTGGTTCAGTGTACCCAAAACTCAATTCTGTGTACAAAATTGCATGTGAAATTACCACCAGGCAGTGCAATTGAGTTGTACATGAAAATATGTGAATTTTGTATTTAGGTTTGAGTCCTATCTCCAAGTGTAACACAAGTGTTATGTCTTGTCATTGTGCATATGAAAGTATTCCAAAATTTGAAGCAGGGAATCCCAAATATGGAACACTTGTTCCCAAGCATTTTGGATCAAGGATGCGCAACTTGCACCGCTATCAAATTGCACAAGACACTGCTCTTCCTCAACTGGAAACACCTCTTCCTCAAGAAATGCCTCTTCCTCAACTCCCCAAGTTCTCCTTCTCTTTGGCAGAGAGACCTGGTTAGAAATCCTCCACTGCAGTCAGCATAAGACCCAAAATACTATGGTCAGAGGCTGGCATCATCTGGGTCAATTCTGTTTAGATAAACAAACATTTGCATACTTTTAGGGTGTTGCAAGAGGAGCTATTCATACCATGAGGTTGCTTGAGCTGTGCATCAGAACCCAAGCAACTAGCAAAAAAATAATAATCAAAGAAATAATATTTTACTGGGTTGTTGTAGGTTTTTTCCGACTATATGGCCATGTTCTAGACCTACAACAACCCAGTGATTCCGGCCATGAAAGCCTTTGACAAAATAATACTTTAAATAAACATTAAAATAAAATCAATTTTAGCAGACATGTTGTATTCAGTTTGTCCTTGTTTGTCTTAATTTGCCTTTAATTGCTGCATTTCAGTATACAAAAACTTGAAGAAAGTTCTGAGAAGAACGGTTATCAAATATAGTAAATAAATAAATAAACAACCAGTCCAGGGTTGTGGTAGGTTTTTTCGGGCTATATGGCCATGTTCTAGAGGCATTCTCTCCTGACGTTTTGCCTGTATCTATGGCAAGCATCCTCAGAGGTAGTGAGGATGCTTGCCATAGATGCAGGCAAAACGTCAGGAGAGAATGCCTCTAGAACATGGCCATATAGCTAGTGTACCATCCACCCCGCGACTCAGCAGTTTCCCTCTCTGTGGTCTCTAATTCGGCTTTGGTCTCCCAGCCATATAGCTTGAAAAAACTTACAACAGCTCAGTGATTCTGGCCATGAAAGTCTTCGACAACCAGTCCAGGGTTGCAACCAGAATTGCATCCAATTTAGGTGTGCCTCAATATGGGGAGGAGGAGAGAGCATTTTTCCCCCATTGCAAAATATGCAGGATCCAGACCATACACTGTTATTATTTGTCTGCGGTGTGATGACCCAGTCCAGACCATTCTAGGAACACAACTAAATTTATCAACCTGGGGGTCTCCAGATGTTTTGGCCTTCAACTCCCAGAAATCCTAACAGCTGGTAAAGTGGCTGGGATTTCTGTGAGTTGAAGGCCAAAACATCTGGAGACCCACAGGTTGAGAACCACTGATCTAGACTGTCGAATGAATGCCGTTTGACACACTGCCAGGGCTCAATGCTATGGAATCCTTGGAGTTTGTTGAGGCCCCAGCCAAAGACTTTGGTGATTACCATCATTCTGGTAGACAAGGATAAAGGCCTGGTAGAACTAGAACTCCCATGTTTCCATAGAATTTAGACCTGACAGTTAAACTGGTTTCAATCTGCATTCGTTTGATAGTGTCCCGTTGGAATTCTATCAAAGTGTTGGCAAACAAAACCCCACTATTTCGTATTTAAGTCCAGGCTCCATCTACACTGCCATGGAATGCAGTTTGCAACTGCATCATATGGTCAGTGTAAACTCAAATAATATTATGTAACAAAATCTGAAAAATGTTCTGTTCCTGGTTTGAAAGTGTTGTTTCCTGTTTAACTGAAAATATTTTGGAAATACTTGTCCTACACCAGACACCTCGTTTTTGTGGCTGCCACAAACTTGGCTGAATTGGTTGAGGCCCCATACGTATGGAAAAACAATAGCAAAATGTGCTGTGGGATGTTGCTCCCACAAAGACAAAGTTTGGATAGTTTAATAAACCTTTTCCATGTTTTTATAATAGAATCAATTAGGAAAGGATGATAAAAACGTCAAATCATCCGGGCGTCCCCTGGGCAACGTCCTTGCAGATGGCCAATTCTCTCACACCAGAAGCCACTTGCAGTTTCTCAAGTTGCTCCTGACACGACAAAAAAATAATAATAATATTAGGAAACAACTTATATAAACCAGGAACAAAAATTGTGTTACATAGTGTATTGCATTATATGAGTCTAGACCAGGCCTGGGCAAACTTTCTAATTTGGGGGTCACATGCTAGCACTCCCTGCGAGGAGGACTGGCTGCCCAGTGATGGAAGGAAGGAAGGGAAGGAGGGAGGAAAGAGTGAAAGAAGAGGAAAAAAGGAGAGGAGGAAGAAGATAAAGGAGAGGAGAAAGAATTAAGGAAGGAAGGATGAGAGGAAGGAAGAGAAAAGGGGGGAGGGGAAAAGAAGGAGGAAGGAAAAGAAGGAGGAGGAAGGAAGAATGAGGAAGAAGAAGGAAGGAAAGGAAAGGAAAGAGAAGGAGGAAAGGAGGAAGAAGGAAGGAAAGGGAAGAGGAAGGAGAAGAAGGAAGGAAGGAAGAAGGAAGGAAGGGGAGGAAGGAAGGAGAAGAGAAAAAGGGAGAAGGAAAGAGGGGGAGGAAGAAAGGAGGGAAATAGAGAGAAAGAGGAAGAGGAAGAGGAAAAAAAGAAGGGAAGGAGGAGAAAAGAAGAGAGAAATAAGGGAGGGAGGGAGGAAAAAAAGAAAGAAGAAGAAAAGCAAGAAGGAAGGAAGGAGGTAGAAGAAGGAAGGAAAGGAGAGAAAGAGGAAAGAAAAAAGGGGGAGGAAGGAAAGTGTGGGATGATTATGTGCGTAAATCATCAAAGATGATAGTGGAAAGAAAAAGAGAAAGAAGAAGGAAGATACTTGTAGTCCCACACGCAAGGACACAAAAGGAGGAAGGAATATCGCATTTAAGGAAGGACGGAAGGAAGAAGGAGGAAGAAGAAATAAAGGAGAGGAAGAACACAAGGAGGAGAAAGAAAGGGAGAGGAAGGAAAGAAAAGGGAAAGGAAGAAAGGAAGAACACAAGGAGGAGGATGGGAAGAAAGAGGAAAGAAAGGGAAAGGAAGAGGGAAGGATTAAGGAAAGAGAGAAGGAGAAGAAAGACAAAAGGAAAAGATATGGAAGGGGAGGAATGTGGGTATCAGTCTGAAGGGTGTACGGGAATGATGAAGTAGCAGAACGGGTAGTGGAGGGAGGGACATGAATTAGAACGTAAAGCCAACGGTTATGAAAGGCAAGTTGTATCAGGAGGGATGGATGGAAGTACGGAAGGGAAGGAGCAAGGAAGGAAAGAGAAGGAAGGACAAAAGGGTGGAAGGGAAAGAGAAAGGTAAGGAGGAAGGAAAGACAAAAGGGAGGGAAGGAGGAAGCAAAGAGAAAAGGAAGGATGAAAGAGTGGAAGGGAATGGAGAAAGAGAGAAGGAAGGATAGGATAGTGAAAGGAGGGCCTGAGAAAGGAGCCCAAGGGGCTGGATCTGGTCCCTGGAAGTGGCTTTGCCCATAGCTGGTCTACACTACCCAATGTGGTTTCTGCATTATAGGAATGTGTGGATGCACTGAAGGCTAGGTGTTGCAGTTGCTTAGCAGTTGTCTGAGCCTATAGTAATGCCCTGTTGCATGTCCCAACCGTGGTCTTGTCTGCAAGGAGGATTCATGGGAATGTGGTCTCGGTCTGTTGGCAGGAGAATTCCACTGCGGCTTTGACGACGGCAACATTTGCTTGTTCACCCAAGACACGAAGGACAACTTCGACTGGACGCGGCAGAACATCATCCTCCGAGACACCAAGTACACGCCAAACACAGGCCCCAGCGCCGACCGGACTGGCTCCAAGGATGGTAAGAGGCCATTTTTGTAAAATTGAGTCCGTGAAGCAGACGGGGATGGTGTGGGGAATGCCCTGGGTCCAGATCTCAGCATCACAATTCAAGAGGGATATGGGCACGGTGTCCTGAGAAGTCCAAAACAGTGTCCAAAACATCTGGAGGACCCAAGTTGGCCCATGCCTGAGCTAAATGCACCCATGTTAGTGGGACGATGCATCTACTCCTGGTTTTAGCCTTAACATGAGAACTGCTGTAAGGTGACTTTTGGAGAGCTCCTTTCTCATTGATCCTAAAAGCCAGAGCAGATGTTCTGCTCCGTTGTCTGGGATGGGAGGTCCACATGGTCCTTTATCCGCTCCCATCCACGTTCTCAGCCTCAGGATGCTTCTTCCTCACGGAGCGTGGTATCTTCCTGCCGTCTTGCCTTCCCTCCTTTAGGCTTCTTCATGTACATCGAGGCTTCCAGTCCCAGGAAGGAGGGCGACCGGGCCCGGCTCATCAGCCCCATCTTCAGCATCCCACCCAAAAACCCCTACGGAGCCACCAACACCGCCTACTGCTTCAGCTTCTACTACAACATGTACGGGCAGCACATTGGTAAGTGGAATCTAGCCATGCGGCATCGGATGAGGAGTCAGTCTCCATGGGTTTTTATAAGGCACGAATCAGCTGGGTTTCTCCCAACTGTAGTAGATTCGTAGAACCGGTCATTGGATGGCCAGGCAACAAGAAGGCAAGTGGCATCCAATGAGGTCCCATCTATGCTGCTGTATAATGCAGCTTCAAACTGCATTATATGGGCAATGTACACTCACATAATGCAACCTAACTCCATAGAATTACATTATATAAGTCTGATGCAGTTTGAAACTGCACTGCAGATGGCCACTTCACCCAACAGCAACCAATCCGATGGCATCATAATGGGCCTCTTCACCTAGCAGCAGCCAATCCTTCACCTAGTGACAGCCAATCCAATAACATGACAATGGGCCACTTCACCTAATGACAGCCAATCCAATGGCATCACAATGGCCTCTTCACCTAGTAGCAGCAAATCCTTCACCTAATGACAGCCAATCCAATGACATTACAAAAGGCCACTTCACCTAGCAGCATCCAGTACAATGGCATCACAAAGGACCACTTCATCTAGCAGCTGCCAGTCCTTCACCTAGTAACAGTCAATCCAATGACATTGCAAAGGACCACTTCACCTAGCAACAGCCAGTCCTTCACCTAGCAACACCCAATCCAATGACATCGCAAAGGGCCACTTCACCTAGCGGCAGCCAATCCTTCACCTAGCAACACCCAATCCAATGACATCGCAAACGGCCACTTCACCTAGCAACAGCCAGTCCTTCACCTAGCAACACCCAATCCAATGACATCGCAAAGGGCCACTTCACCTAGCCAACAGCCAGTCCTTCACCGAGCAACACCCAATCCAATGACATCACAAAGGGCCACTTCACCTACCAACAGTCAGTCCTTCACCGAGCAACAGTCAATCCAATGACATCGCAAAGGGCCACTTCACCTAGCAACAGCCAATCCTTCACCTAGCAACACCCAATCCAATGACATCACAAAGGGCCACTTCACCTACCAACAGCCAGTCCTTCACCTAGCAACACCCAATCCAATGACATCGCAAAGGGCCACTTCACCTAGCGGCAGCCAGTCCTTCACCGAGCAACACCCAATCCAATCACATCGCAAAGGGCCACTTCACCTACCAACAGCCAGTCCTTCACCGAGCAACAATGAATCCAATGACATCACAAAGGGCCACTTCACCTACCAACAGCCAGTCCTTCACCGAGCAACAATGAATCCAATGACATCACAAAGGGCCACTTCACCTACCAACAGCCAGTCCTTCACCGAGCAACAATGAATCCAATGACATCACAAAGGGCCACTTCACCTACCAACAGCCAGTCCTTCACCGAGCAACAATGAATCCAATGACATCACAAAGGGCCACTTCACCTAGCGGCAGCCAATCCTTCACCTAGCAACGCCCAATCCAATGACATCACAAAGGGCCACTTCACCTAGCGGCAGCCAGTCCTTCACCTAGCAACACCCAATCCAATGACATCGCAAAGGGCCACTTCACCTAGCGGCAGCCAATCCTTCACCTAGCAACACCCAATCCAATGACATCGCAAAGGGCCACTTCACCTAGCGGCAGCCAATCCTTCACCTAGCAACACCCAATCCAATGACATCGCAAAGGGCCACTTCACCTAGCAACAGCCAGTCCTTCACCTAGCAACACCCAATCCAATGACATCGCAAAGGGCCACTTCACCTACCAACAGCCAGTCCTTCACCGAGCAACAATGAATCCAATGACATCACAAAGGGCCAATTCACCTACCAACAGCCAGTCCTTCACCGAGCAACAATGAATCCAATGACATCACAAAGGGCCACTTCACCTAGCGACAGCCAGTCCTTCACCGAGCAACAATGAATCCAATGACATCACAAAGGGCCAATTCACCTACCAACAGCCAGTCCTTCACCTAGCAACACCCAATCCAATGACATCGCAAAGGGCCACTTCACCTACCAACAGCCAGTCCTTCACCGAGCAACAATGAATCCAATGACATCGCAAAGGGCCACTTCACCTAGCGGCAGCCAATCCTTCACCTAGCAACACCCAATCCAATGACATCGCAAAGGGCCACTTCACCTAGCGGCAGCCAATCCTTCACCTAGCAACACCCAATCCAATGACATCACAAAGGGCCACTTCACCTAGCAACAGCCAATCCTTCACCTAGCAACACCCAATCCAATGACATCACAAAGGGCCAATTCACCTACCAACAGCCAGTCCTTCACCTAGCAACACCCAATCCAATGACATCGCAAAGGGCCACTTCACCTACCAACAGCCAGTCCTTCACCGAGCAACAATGAATCCAATGACATCGCAAAGGGCCACTTCACCTAGCAACAACCAGTCCTTCACGTAGTGACACCGAATCCAGTGACATCGCAAAGGGCCACTTCACCTACCAACAGCCAATCCTTCACCTAGCAACACCCAATCCAATGACAACACAAAGGGCCACTTCACCTAGCGGCAGCAAATCCTTCACCTAGCAACACCCAATCCAATGACAACACAAAGGGCCACTTCACCTACCAACAGCCAATCCTTCACCTAGCAACACCCAATCCAATGACAACACAAAGGGCCACTTCACCTAGCAACAGCCAGTCCTTCACCGAGCAACACCCAATCCAATCACATCGCAAAGGGCCACTTCACCTACCAACAGCCAGTCCTTCACCGAGCAACAATGAATCCAATGACATCACAAAGGGCCACTTCACCTACCAACAGCCAGTCCTTCACCGAGCAACAATGAATCCAATGACATCACAAAGGGCCACTTCACCTACCAACAGCCAGTCCTTCACCGAGCAACAATGAATCCAATGACATCACAAAGGGCCAATTCACCTACCAACAGCCAGTCCTTCACCGAGCAACAATGAATCCAATGACATCACAAAGGGCCACTTCACCTAGCGGCAGCCAGTCCTTCACCTAGCAACACCCAATCCAATGACATCGCAAAGGGCCACTTCACCTACCAACAGCCAGTCCTTCACCGAGCAACACCCAATCCAATGACATCGCAAAGGGCCACTTCACCTACCAACAGCCAATCCTTCACCTAGCAACACCCAATCCAATGACAACACAAAGGGCCACTTCACCTAGCGGCAGCCAATCCTTCACCTAGCAACACCCAATCCAATGACATCGCAAAGGGCCACTTCACCTAGCGGCAGCCAATCCTTCACCTAGCAACACCCAATCCAATGACATCACAAAGGGCCACTTCACCTAGCAACAGCCAATCCTTCACCTAGCAACACCCAATCCAATGACATCGCAAACGGCCACTTCACCTAGCAACAGCCAGTCCTTCACCTAGCAACACCCAATCCAATGACATCGCAAAGGGCCAATTCACCTACCAACAGCCAGTCCTTCACCGAGCAACAATGAATCCAATGACATCACAAAGGGCCAATTCACCTACCAACAGCCAGTCCTTCACCGAGCAACAATGAATCCAATGGCATCACAAAGGGCCACTTCACCTAGCGGCAGCCAGTCCTTCACCGAGCAACAATGAATCCAATGACATCGCAAAGGGCCACTTCACCTACCAACAGCCAGTCCTTCACCGAGCAACAATGAATCCAATGACATCACAAAGGGCCAATTCACCTACCAACAGCCAGTCCTTCACCGAGCAACAATGAATCCAATGACATCACAAAGGGCCACTTCACCTAGCGGCAGCCAATCCTTCACCTAGCAACACCCAATCCAATGACATCGCAAAGGGCCACTTCACCTAGCGGCAGCCAATCCTTCACCTAGCAACACCCAATCCAATGACATCACAAAGGGCCACTTCACCTAGCAACAGCCAATCCTTCACCTAGCAACACCCAATCCAATGACATCACAAAGGGCCAATTCACCTACCAACAGCCAGTCCTTCACCTAGCAACACCCAATCCAATGACATCGCAAAGGGCCACTTCACCTACCAACAGCCAGTCCTTCACCGAGCAACAATGAATCCAATGACATCGCAAAGGGCCACTTCACCTAGCAACAGCCAGTCCTTCACCGAGCAACAATGAATCCAATGACATCGCAAAGGGCCACTTCACCTAGCAACAGCCAATCCTTCACCTAGCAACACCCAATCCAATGACATCACAAAGGGCCACTTCACCTAGCAACAGCCAATCCTTCACCTAGCAACACCCAATCCAATGACATCACAAAGGGCCAATTCACCTACCAACAGCCAGTCCTTCACCTAGCAACACCCAATCCAATGACATCGCAAAGGGCCACTTCACCTACCAACAGCCAGTCCTTCACCGAGCAACAATGAATCCAATGACATCGCAAACGGCCACTTCACCTAGCGGCAGCCAATCCTTCACCTAGCAACACCCAATCCAATGACAACACAAAGGGCCAATTCACCTACCAACAGCCAGTCCTTCACCTAGCAACACCCAATCCAATGACATCGCAAAGGGCCACTTCACCTAGCGGCAGCCAATCCTTCACCTAGCAACACCCAATCCAATGACATCGCAAAGGGCCACTTCACCTACCAACAGCCAGTCCTTCACCGAGCAACACCCAATCCAATGACATCACAAAGGGCCACTTCACCTACCAACAGCCAGTCCTTCACCTAGCAACACCCAATCCAATGACATCGCAAAGGGCCACTTCACCTAGCGGCAGCCAATCCTTCACCTAGCAACACCCAATCCAATGACAACACAAAGGGCCAATTCACCTACCAACAGCCAGTCCTTCACCTAGCAACACCCAATCCAATGACATCGCAAAGGGCCACTTCACCTACCAACAGCCAGTCCTTCACCGAGCAACAATGAATCCAATGACATCGCAAACGGCCACTTCACCTAGCGGCAGCCAATCCTTCACCTAGCAACACCCAATCCAATGACAACACAAAGGGCCACTTCACCTACCAACAGCCAGTCCTTCACCT